TAGCATCTAAGTTGTGCTGAACTCATAAGAATTCTACATATTTTCATTTAACTGCTTTAATCATAACTATTTGAAGAGTCTTTTTATATTTAGCAGCATAGAAGTTCAGGAAGCGATTGCAAAACCAGCAGGCCATTCACCTCCTTTTAACACTTGGTCTCAATTACTGGTGAATATTTCACACCAACTTCTAATTTCCTTAAACCCCACATTTAAAACGTGAAGCAGATTGATGGATTCATTCATTGAGTTTTCAATGCCCAGGACTAAAGAGACAGAAGTGGTAAATGCGCATTTCTGTCGCTGTGTGGAAGAGTCTATAAAGATAGATACAAATAATTGTGCAGGAAAAAAAATACCGTGAGCTTAAGACAAAATGGTTTTGTGAGGAAAGGATTCTGCAAAGAGCAACTGAATGAAGAAGGAAGACATTTGGGGAGGCGGGAACAGCATGCACACTCCAGAAGAGCTGGAGGACAAGCCGCTGGACCTCAGTGATACACTTTCCACACTCTCAGGTTCATCCATGGGCTTCCAGTCTCACGGGACTGCAGAGGCTGGTTGTCATCAGATACCTACAGAGTTTAATTTTCTGCAACAGAGCAACTAATCTGAGCCCGTGAAGTCCACAGAGACTGAACCATCAGCCAAAGAGAATGTATGGGCTGGACCTAGGTCTTTACACATATATAGCAGATGTACAGCTTGATCTTCTTCTGGGTCCCCTAACAACTGGGGCAGGAGGCTGTCTCTGACTCTGTTGCCTGCCATTAGATCTCTTTCACCTAGATGGGCTGCCTTGTCTGGTCTCAGTGGCAGACGATGCTTAATCCTGACGAGACTTGATGTGCCAGGGAGAAGGGAGAAAGGGACGGAGGCTGCAATAGGCATGTAAACTGAATATACATAAATTAATGAAAAATATTCAAATAGATGAAACCATTGTCCTTAAAAGTATCTTTTCAGTCACCACACAAAGTTCCAAAATTTATAATGCTGTAGAGGCATAGTTTTAAATTAATATTTGGGTAAGTCTTCACCAAGGCTGCAATTTAAGGTTTTTAAAATAAGAATATATATAAATATATACATTCATACACATACACACACATATAGTAACACAGATAAGTCTAATATCTTAATGAACTGAATTTACATTCATTTGACTTGTATGAAGCTGACTTAATGAGACGCTTCACTTTTTTAGAAACGGGTCAAGGCCAAAGGAAGACTTGGGCAATCCATTATCCTGTACTCGTTGTCTGCATAGCTTGTATTTTTATGATGATTTATAATTTAAGTAAATCAATTAATAATAATTCTTGGAACTATATCTAATATTTTAGCTCAGATACTTAGTAGTGATATATTAACAATCTATTTTTGTCTTGGTCACTAATACAAGACTTCTCATGTTCTCTCATTTTCTTAATGGAAATCTTAGGCTGCAGCTGCTGTATCATATCAGAGAAGAGTCTCTATTCTTAGGGGATAGATACCGTCATGGCCTGGGTCCTATAGACTGAAGATATGCTTTTTGACATTTGAGTTTATAGAAAACAGTAAACATATACATTGGAAGTTTACTATCATCCATCTGAAATACCTGAAAGCACTGTTTGAAATACAAAAGAGAACCCATGTGGATTACTTATCTTCATGGGACACTTGACTATGTGTTCCTTAAGAGATCTGAGGCCTCCAGCAACATGCCTCTCTGCAGGCCAAGCTGCTGCAGCCTGTCCCTGAACCTGCTCCTCTCTGCTTCCTGGACTAAGGGAGTGTCCACCACCTCACACTCCTCAGGATTCCATGTGGACCACACGTCCAACTTTCCCGGGCTTTGTGTTTGTGTCTTCTCTATTTTCTGCCATCGTTTTCTTCATTTTCTCTCCTCCTTCAGTCATCTTAAGCCTCAATGACAGTGAAACGATTCCTACACCAACCAAGTCTGCCCCGTGAGTGCTGCCTTGTATTGTTGCTCTATTCCCACCAAGGCATGGTGAAGATTTGCCCTGAACACACTGATGCATTCTCTCTGGAAATGTCTCCTCCCTGGAAATGCCTCAGCTAGGGCTAGTATCAGTAGGCTCTTTCCAGACCCTATATATGTATATGTCCTCACAATTTTCCCTCCTATCTACCTTCCTTCCTTCCTCCTTCTCCCTCATCTGCCTCCTCCCTCCTTCACTCTTATGAAATATCCACCCCCTCTGTCTCTATGTGAACGAAATGTTAGGATTTTGGGGAATTCCTGCTCTAGTTCACTGTTATTCACTGGATGTAGGCCAGGTTTCTGTGGTGAAGCCTTTTTTTCTTCTTTCTTTCTTTTTTCCTTTTAATCTTTAGCCAGGACCACTTTCATGCCTCCAGCTTTAGATGGTATCAGATCTTGGCATTCCCAGTTCTCTATCTTACACTGTTGAAATCTCACCTTAAGGTGAACCTTGTTTTTTCTCCCCAGTTCCTGACTTGTCCTCTAGCAGACATCCTGCAGACTGGTCAAAGGCCCTCTGTTTCTTACCATTCCCCTAAATGGCATAAAGACTGTCAACTAGGTGACTTCAGCTGCCTCTGCACTCTTATACTAGAGTTCCATTTCCCAAGTGGGGGCAGATGGCCTCTCAAATATTACAAAAATTATCCTGCATTTGGCATAAAACTTGGTACCCACTTAACATCTGACACAGTGAATTCCCACTTCCTGCCATATCTCTAAGGTCCATATGATCTAACCCCAGCTGCTCCTCTGACCTGGTGTCATTTGTCCTCATGTACGACAAAGCTAAACTCTTCTTGAAGCCCTTGAACCACTTCCCATAGTCCAAATCCAGGACTCTGTACATGTTCTGTATGCCTGGGATATTCTTTTCCATGCTTGTCACTAACATTTTTTTTGAAATATAGGCTCTGCGGAAATGTCATTTCTCAAGAGAATTTGTTTCACCATTCACTTTCCAAATTAAACACTCTTCTTGCAGTGTTGTGTCCCAGAGTGTGATATTCCATGCTACGGTGAGTTAGGCAGTATTCACCATAGTAGATTGAGAGGCAGTTTGGGATAATGGAGAGACAGGTTAGCTTGGGTACTGATGCTCACTACTTACTAGTTATGTGTCCAGGCACAAGTTATTTGAAAATAGATGTTTTTCATACAATATATTATGATTAGATCCCCCCAGTGCCTCCTAATTCCTCCCTGTCCCTTCTCATCCAGATCTACACTCTGTCACTCATTAGAAAATAAACCATCCTCTAATGAATAATACAAATTAATTAACATAAAAAATTTAAAGAGAACAAAACAAATAGAAGAATAAGAGCCAGAGAGACATATTATGGGCACAGAGACACACACATTCACTCAGGCAAGGATCCCATACAAGACAACTCCAAAGATGCTGTTGTTTGTTTTGTGTTGGCTATCTACTTCTAGGCCTTGGTTTGTTTCCCCTGTGAGACTCTCTTGATTAAAACTGTTTTTCCCTATTTGGAACTGGCTGTCAACCAGAGATAGCTTCTGTGTTAGAGATGGGGCTGTGTTGTATACACTTCTTTTACCTTTAGGACCCTATCTTGTACAGGCCCATGTAGGCTCTATGCATGATGCCACAGACTCTTTGAGTACATTGGTGTGCAGTCCTGCGCTGTTTAGAAGGCCTTGATTTCTTTGTGCTTTCTATTGCCTTCTGGCTCTTAAACTCTTTCTGAATGCCTGAACCCTGAATGGAGGGATTGGATGGAGACATCCCAGTTAGGAATGAGTGTTCCAAGGTCTCTCACTCTCTGCACATTTTAGAGACAAGTTATCTAAATTCTGCCCGTGAGTTTCCTCAAGGGTCACATGAGGACAACGGGAATGTCTGTCTTCTGGGACATTTTCAAAGCAGAAGTAGTTACTATTTTAACTCATAGTAAATACTTTATAAGCATTTGTTTACAAATATGTGGTGTATGTTTGTTTTCGTATGTGTGAAATCTGCTTTATGTCTAAATGCATGGCTATGTGTTGTTATTCTTAATTGCTATGAAATGTTTGACAGACGAACATTGCACTGCATCTTATAATTATGTTTAGAAAGAGAATAGCATTCTATAGTTATGTGTTTATGATGCATAACTACTTGTAACCTACTCATTAGAATTATTGAACTATGTTTTTGATCTGAGAATATCCTTGACAGTTTAATTTCTGTCTGACCCCCTAACTTCTCTCAAGACCCTTCATTGCTGTCATTCGTCACATCTCTGGACTCCAGTGTCATGGCAATCCAACTCAGGTTACAGATTCAGTGAACAATGAGACACTTTCTCTCACCTTGGAATCCTGGATTGTATGGCAGCCTTTGTTTGGTTCTCATTGTTTGGCAACACTGGGTGCACTGTTCAAATACTTTCCATAGAGTTACAGAATTTCCCCTATTAATAATGTTACTCAGTTCTAGACAAGCATCCATCACCCACCCATACTTATAATGGTTTGTCTGTCCATTTTGCCTTTTGTATCTTCCAGCATCCTATTTGTGTGACCTCTGAGGGGTAATATTCCTAAAAGGCTTTCTCTCTTCTCAGTTCTCTTAGAAGGGAGCTTCCTATATTTAGTTCCCAAAGAAAGACTGTATAATTTCACAATTACATCTGTTCATATTGCCTGTCCCTTACATTCCTTTCCTCAGGAGCCCTGTCTGGTGAGTGACAGTTAAAGACTTCCTACTTTCTCTCCGTGTCCTGAGCAAGCTTATCATTTATAGATTCTCAGTATGTGACACTTGTAAAAGTCCTATCCCAAAATTATCTACAGGCTTTAGAAAGCAGAAGCTCAGAGTTACAGTAGGAAAACTCTGCCACTTTGTCCATAACACCCTTGTTACTTAGGATTTTATTTTTCTTTTCAAAGGGAAGCAGTGCAGCCAGCTTGAGATGCATGCAGTTGAGTTTTGATGAAAATTGTGCAGCTGATTTTAGTGTTCATTTGTATATTTTCTTTTTACTCTTTCCAGTTTAACAGCAACGCGCAGGATGTAAGCTGTTTTGAGCACCTGGTTCAAGCGAATGTAAGAAATAAGAAGGTGTTGAAAGATGCCGTGAATAACATTACAGCAAAGGGGATAACAGATTATAAGAAAGGCTTTAGCTTTGCATTTGAACAGCTACTTAATGTAAGTATCAATAGGCAATTTTATTTTTCCTGGTTTTAGATATTCTTATAAAAATTACCAACCACCATTGAAACTTGCTGACGAGTATCTTCGATGAGCCGTGAGCGGGGTGGCAGATGAGCGGGGTGGCAGATGAGCGGGGTGGCAGATGAGCGGGGTGTTGGTCAGTACTTGGGTTGCTATTGCTTCATTAGGCGCTTTTGCTGCCAGTGTCTGTATGGGAGTCTCAATGTGCTGACATGATATGAAGCGGGATCATGTTACCAATATAGAAAATGTCTTCATTAATTTTTGCCCCAGGAAGATGGGCTTTATCTTCCTTGAAAAGTAAAAGTGTCAGCCTTTGGTAGGCTAGAGCACTACAAAAGGATTATTGATATTAAAAGATAATTGCTCATTTAAACACAGAGGCTGATGATCTCAATTACAGGAGACTCTCAAGGACTTTAGCAGATTGCCTGACTACTTGAATTGTATCCAATTGCACAGTGACATTTCACATCATGGATAGAAGAACATAATATATATTTTTCACCAACTCTATAGTGATTTCATGTTTAAGTGGTAGCACTTTGAATGGTTAATTTAAATGGAATCTATGCTTAGAATTAACTTATTACTGTTTTGGTAGGCCTTTAGAAAATTTTAAATTACATGATAGGCTCGTATTATACTTCCTTTAGATAGGCTTAAGCGAGAAGGTTAACATTTTCAAAGAAGCTGAGTATTCAGAAGTTAGTGCAATTCATATTTTTCATCATTTAAGAAAACACATTCCATAACAGTAGAAAAGCTAAGACTGTAATTCGATACCTTCAAGAAGTCCAACTTGCTAAACTAATTGTTCACTTTAAAGGTCCTTTGATGCTAATTCATTATTTTATGCTCAGTTTTTTGCAAGACCTTAAAGGTTAAGATGGTTTATTACTGGAAATGAGTCTTGCAGGATTAGAATCTGTTGGCAGGTCAAGAGAGGACAGAGATGGGGGGGGGTGCTCAGGGAGTAGGTGGCAACGTTTATGGAGCCCCGAGGAGCACTATGTGGAGGACTTCACAGGGCTAATCTTATCTCCAGAATGTAAGGTGAATGACCCAGGAGGGAAGAACAGAGAGAAGGATTGTCTGGAAATGGATTGGTTAATATGCAAAGTGTGAGTCAAGTTAATGCCATTTGTTGATTCTGCTATAAAATTCTAAAAGTAGGTAGAAGAAACATTTACTCACATAAAGTCCAAATACTACTGAGTTACAGGGATGTTGTTATGAGCCATATGCCGTCTAAACGCCACGGGCTCGTACATGTATGAGGCTTGTTTCCTATTGGAAAAACTAACACCAAACAAACAAAAAGCTGAAGGTTACCAAATTAAAAATGGATTATGAAGAGATTATAGTCTGGAACATGTTTTAGTTTAAAACATGTAGTCTGGGAAGGTGTCACTGGTGGAGTGGTATTTGATGGAAGGTTTAAAAAAAGGAGGTGTTGAGGTTTTTGGCTAGCTAAGTATAAGGACTACCCCTGACCTGAGCATCAAGCCTGTTTTTATAACATAATACTGAGAAGACATTTTATTTGTTGGCATAATATGTGCATTTTTTCATATCTGTTTTCTTTTCCTAACTTTTATTCTGAATAACTTACGTATATGCATTTTTTTTAAAATAGTATAATGTTTCTAGAGCCAATTGTAATAAGATCATCATGTTATTCACGGATGGAGGAGAAGAGAGAGCCCAGGAGATATTTGCCAAATACAATAAAGACAAAAAAGTGAGTGTTATTTTCTAATATTTAACTTTAATATGTAGATAGTTTTCAGAAAGATAGCTGGTGGTAGTGAGGAGAATTTTTTTCTCCAAAATGTTGCTTGCAGTTATAAAATTGTATTGCTGGTAAAAATGAAACTTTTTTTCGGGCAACCAACCACAAAGCTACAAATATATTAGACATATATTGTAGATTTATAGGTTCCATTTGATTCTTATGTTATCAAAAGAGAGAAATAAGAAGAGTATGAGTGATGTCTCCTAATCATTGACATTGATAGAAAGATTCGATATTCTAAATGCACTAGAAATATCTATAGTGATATTTTTAAATCTGTGAAAATAATTTACAACAACAAAAAGATGCAGCCTGCTTGAAAATGAGTTCCATGGATGGTTTAAGATAAATGTTTGATTGTTATAATAATTTAAAGAAGGCTGTATCCCAAAAGCCATGCAGAATATGAAGATGAGTGCTTTACATTTGGACTGTGTTCCTTTTCAGGTGTGGAGCACTTCAGGGCCAATGCAGGGCAGTTTCAGGGCCATGCTGTGGAGAGTGTTACTGTATCACTACAACTCAAAGGACTATAGCTACTCACCCATGAGTCGTATCAAGAGTTCTCATCTGATTTCTTACTGATCATCAACCAGTTTTCCTATAATGCTAAATGATTATCGTAAAAGTCATGGGGGAAGATACAATGTCTATCTTGTGCTTTAAAAAATTGTAAATTTATCCTAATGAAAACTACACCATTGCTCAGCCTCCAGATAGCTGCTACTACAGTTGTGCGTGGGGCAGTACCTGGCTTTTGTTCTCTTTCTGATGGACAGCTTTACTTTTGGAGAAAATATAGCTTAGCAGTAGCTCCAGTGGGTGGTATAATGGTATTTGAGCCACAGACATATATTTTTGCATATATTAAAGAGAAAATTGCCATATGTCAATCGATAGTTGCTGAGAGAGGGAGAATCAGTCTTTTACACTCCAGGTATGAAGTCTGGAGAGGTTAGCCCACCCAGGAGGTCAACGCTAATCACAAAGAGCAGGATCAAATTTCTTCAGCTGGTTGTATTTATAAATGTATGTGTGTGTGACAGTTATAATTAATGGATTAGAACCCATGAGTTTTAGAAGGAGTGAGTGCCACACTAACAGGAAGACTTGGAGGGAGACGTGATGAAGACGGATATAAATACAGGGTTTGCGTACAAGACGGATGTAAGTACACAGAGCTCACCTGTGAAATCAATATGCATCATAGTGCTACTCTAAATGGAGGCTATAGGCACAAGCCAGTCATCCTTTGGCAAATAGATAAGTAAACCATGCCACACACATGCTAGGAAATGCTAATTATCTGCAACAAATGGGAATTCTGTAGTATGTAACATAGTTGAACTTAGAAATCATGCTTATTGAAAAAAAACTCTTCATATACATGCTTGCAATTAAATGAATATCATGTTTCCACATACATGACCTATCAGCATAGTCCAGTTCACAGGATCATGAAGCTGCCAGAGACTGAGAAAGAGGGACAGATAATTAACATGTTCAATCTGTGCATACACAGTTTCAGTTTTGCAAGGTGGCTCCAGGGAGCTGTCTTATGGCTTTGTAACTGTAAAAAACATGACTTTGTTTTACATACTTTTATTATGCTTCATTTTTTGTTTTGCAATTGTAATATAATCATACCTCCCCCCCTTTCCCTTTCCTTAGGATACATTGTGGAATAGGTAGTGTGAAGACTGTAAGAGCCAGTAGCTTAAGACATGCTGTAAGAGAGTGTCTACCAGTAGTGTCAGAAGCTACACCCATAGTCTCACTGACAAGATGGCCTAAACATGAGCTGAAATATATTTCCTTAAAATATGCTGAGGGCATATCTCATACAGTGTGTTTTTACTACAACAATATGAAAGAACTTAAATATGTAAATATTTAAATATATAAAAATTAGTGACCTTTAAAAAAATCACCAAAATTACTATCTTCATTTTACTTTTCCCTCCAGGAACTTATGGCGTTCACATGCCCAGTGAATGCTTTATTTACATTTAGTTTCCATCTTGATGGCTCAAAAGCCATTCACAGCAGCCCAGGTAGGTGTGATAAGATGTCTGGGCAGCTGATGAATTAGCCTGTAGATACACAGCACACTTTAATGAAACCAAAAGCTTTGAGAATTAGAACAAAATGTTTGGGTTCTTTTTCTGGAATGCACTACTCTTGGGAATTCATCTACCTGATTAGAGATAGGCAGAGATTTAAAACTGAATCCATGTTAATCTTCTGGAGCAGCTGTTCCAAATTAAAATACACTTTCTAATCTTTACCTGAAGCAGGGACATTCCTTAGGGCTCACCCATGTGTATAAGAACTCCTTAAAAATGGTGCCAAAACTCAAATGAGCTCCATCAACAAGAACACACAAATGAGTAAAGGAAAGTCAAACCAGACTTCCAGTTGAAAGATAATTCCCAGGACTTGTAAAATCAAACATCTTTGCATTTCTGTAGGATGGCAACGATTGCTTCGTTAGCAGTGCACACTCCCCCTCTAAGTAGAAAACAATTCTCTCCTACTGCTCTTAATTTTCAGAATTTAATTTTAGAAAGAAGGCAAGCAAAATTATTATAATAAACATTTCAAAGTATCTAGCAAAAATAAAAATGTGAGTGTGAAATAATTTCAAACTAAGGAATGTTCAGCTAATGTCAAAATCACTTAATAGTATTCAGTGTTATAAAAATTTTTAGAGGTTTACTTTTAAATATGATGAACTCTTTTCTGTACTGCCAGTAGAAAAGCAGTCTCTGTTTTCTGCAAAAGTCTACACCACGTCACAAATGACAGAAGCTGTATCAGGGTTTACAGTAAAAACTGCCTTTATTTTTAACTGACAGTAGAAAATTTTACAAAAAATAATTTGTTTTATTTTCTACTTTCTTTTTGTCCTCCTCCATCAGACAAAACTATAGCCTTGGTAAGGAATTGTTCTGATATCAATAATGAAGGCTATTTAGCTTATAAAATATTGAATGTCATTTACCAATTACATTGTGCTCCTAAAATCTTTTATTTTGGATATTTTTGCACTTTCAACCATTTCTTAGAATTAAACTTTTGAATAAGAGCAATACACCTTTGTTTATAAATTTCAATATGGTTTATACTAGAGTCAGGATACATTTGAAACAATGCAGCGCTGACCAACCTTATGGAGAAATTATAAATTTAAGTGGAATGTTTTGTGCAGGTGTGTGTTGGGATATGTGTATATATTTTTGTCTCCAAAACCATGTGCTTCACTTTTATTTCTCTTCAAATAAAATTAAGATTGACAGTTTATTCTCTACACTAATATAATTCTTACCAGGAATATTTCGTTCATATTTAAGGTATATCACCTTAGTGCATTTTGCAGATTTTAATCGAAAAAAATATATATATAATGAAACATTAAATTATCACCTTAGGTACCAAGTACATAATATAATATAGTAATATGTAAACTTTAGAAACTCAGACTGACTTGAGTTATGTTTTAGTCATGATTATATTATGTCGACCTGGAATCTTTCATGCATAAAACATTGCTAGGAAAGGCTATTGGTCTGGCTGTTTCTGTGACTGCCCTTTTGTTTTGATTAAAACGCTGTTTTACATATTGTTTCCCAGAGGGATCTCTGCCCAGCTCTCTCGAGTGGTCTTTTTGCCTGAGCGTCCTTTGACACTGTGTTAAAAGCACCTTCTTTCTGTTTCGTTTCCATTGCACCAGATGACCACTTGCATTATATGATGACATGTTATCTTGAGGTTTTATTTATCCCAGAAGCTTGATGAAGTAGTATAACATAGTTTGTGAGCATACTGTGGAATTCATAGCAATAGCGTAGTGCTTGGCTCATAGTAATTTGCTCAGTTTTTACAAACATGTCCCATATATCCTGAATACATGTCAAACTATGAGAACATCACAGATGTCAGAAAACATTAAGTAGATTTGTAATTCATTTAAGCTGATACTATTCAAATAGTATTTTCCCATATGATTGGAGCTTGTAGTAAAAATGATAGTCCACTCCTTCGTGTACCTTTCTTGAAGGTAGGGAAGTTCATATGATTTGTTTTGATGGTACTTTTTACCCTCATCTGTCCAGTACACAAGGTTCTTTTAAAATCTCATCATTAGTGATGGTAAAGTACTTTTTATTATCGAAAAAGAATATCTGATCAGAATCACACTCTATCTCACATTCTGAAGTCAGCTGGTGATAATCTTTATAGGATTGCAGATTGCTTGGAAATTCCTTGTTCCTGAAGCTTTAGTCTACTTTATAAAGTACAAGCCATGTATTCTGAGAACAGAGGAACTGAAAATCCTCCTTATAATCCAGTAACATGAAAACGATTCATTACAAGAGTTAGCAGGACTCTAGTGTGATCCCAAGGCATGGATCTACGCTGTCCACGCATCTGCAAGATGCCTAAGAGCCTCTAAGAGCCTTTCTTTAAGATGGTGTATGTGAAAGCTTTATGACACTCACATGTTTTCCTTTGAAACAATTGTTTTATGTTGTTTACCTGGTCAGATTCAGCAGGCATGAGTTAAATTGTTGCTTCTGTTAGACATTTGGAACTGAATCGGGTTTAACATATACCATTAACTCCTTAGCATTGAAGTCTGCTGTTGTGTAGAATAAATAGGTGTCCAAATTTGCTCATCTAGAAAAGTATTTTTATCCATTTGGCATTCCTGATATAGGAAAGGCTTATGACCTAAAGTGAACTGTTAGACTGACTAGCGTGTTCTATCTAATGAATGATGTAATCATCACGATCTTTACTACTACAGCTAAGATGTACACAGGTTATGATTTCTATATGTTATAAAGACTTCACATTTAGTAGTTGATTTGCAGTTGGAATACTCACATAAGCATCACCATTATCTTCCTTGCCACATTGTTGAAATACAAAAGCCAAAAATA